CCTGACTAAGCACGCGAGTCGCCGGTCGGCGGTCTCTAATATGCATCGAAAGTGGTTGAGCTCATAATTTGAGTATTGAATCTCTCTGGTGCAGAAAACCGCGAATGTATACAGGTAGATATGACAATAATGTAGGTACCTAATTAGTCAAGCGGTTACCAAGATATAAGGCTGTGAAAAGCGTCACTATGCCGACTGCCGGGTCAAAAGTGTCACGGTGAGAAGTGTCACGGTGCGTCGTGATGCACATGCCGAGATTATAGGTAGGTACCTACTGATACAAGAGTATAGGGGTGCTGAGGTTACAGGTATTCTCGCTCATCAAAACTGGGATGCTTCAATTCTTCTTCTTAGTGGATTAGGGCAAATTACAGGGATGCTGCTGCGGAGCTGGAACTATTGCAAAACCGCTCGAAGCTGAATTGCAGGCCGTCAAAAAGATGCGGCTCCCTCCGTCCAGCCGGCTCTGAATAAACAATCGAGAAGGAATTTCAGTGAGAAATGTGGAATGAATGTTTTTTTGCGTAGAAACTCTTGGGCAGATCAAAACTTTCAGAAAGCGAGAAAGTCAGAGGCATGTTCTTTTTGAGTGGTCACCCGCAGCCGGGCTGCATGAACTACTGAGGCCCTTATGTGCACATATCTAGTCACCGTGCACCTGCACATATCTAGCCATGGCTAGTGCCCAGGCCCCAGGGATCCAGTCTTGCCATTCTGCCGGTCTACATAGACATGCTGCCGGCTATAGGCTAACTGTATTACAAAAAATAGAAAATCATAGATTCATAACTAAGACAAGTCTTGATAGGTATGGTACCTATACCTACCTATACCTACATATGTATAGAAAATCATAGATTCATAACTAAGACAAGTCTTGATAGGTATTAGGTACCTATACCTACATAGAAAATCATAGATTCATAACTAAGACAAGTCTTGATAGGTATTAGGTACCTATACCTACCTATACCTACATATGATTATGTATATGTGCAAAATATTATTAGCTTCCCAAAAAGTTGCGGCTCTAAAATCACGGACCTTACTTTAGAGAACTTGTTTGTTCTAGATCAAGTCCTAATGCTTTTGAAATATGATAAAAATTGTGGTATAATTTTCGTGATAGTTAATTGGAAAAGGAAGTTTTTAACCTGACGTGATCCTATTTTCGATCAAAGCTACCTTTTCGCTTGGATTGGAGTGCACAAAAAGTGTTGGTTGGAGGACGAACAAAGCGCAAATTTCAAAATCAGCGCATCGTGTTTTTTGTGGTGCGGTCGCGATCAATCACGTGCGCCGCGCTGTAGGAAGTGTTAGCTGACAATTGACATTACACTCCTTTTATTTTTTTTTAGTATTATTATTAATTGTATGGTGGCATTACTGCTGGTGAATGCTTGGCAAGCCGATAGAACTACCATCATAGGCCCAGACTGGAAAAATTCATACTACAGTCAAGGCACTGCTTGGGCGCTGCAGTACGCGAGACGCCTCTGGGACTCAGTCACTCATGTGCCGAAATTAGGCGCAAGTGGTTTTGTGCTGAAATTTTAGCAAAATTTGTGCCGAAAGTTGAAGCTTATTTGTGCCAATTGTAAACCTTGTCACCCATTGGATTTGGGCTCATCTCATGCACACGTCCATTCTGAAAAATGTGTCGGCTCAATGAGGGTGCTTGGGGCAATTGACCTCTGGGCAGTGGAGCCCTATTTCTGCCCCCAAATGGGGCATCGGCATATCAGTTGGGGAAACGAGGCAAAGAACCAAAAATGGATCTGTCAATAAATATACTTTTTATGACCATATATGAGCATAAATGCAGCTCTCGCTACTAAGGGTAAAAAATGGTGTAACGTGCCTGTACTTGCGGTGCGTCCACTTATCTCAGAGAAAAAGCTTCCATTTTCCACCAGGAATCAACGTAATTTGATCAAATTCTGCTAATTCACTCGAAAATGGCGATAAAAATGGCTTCTGCAGGTTCCGGGCGTCACAATCGGCTGGCCATTCCATAAATGGATTGATATTAAAAGATTTAATTTGATCACAATAAATAAAGATATTTAAATTTAAAATAATAATTTAACCACAATTGGAAAAACCAAATTCAAAATAATAGAAATAATGACATTTTAAAACCATGGTGCTGCTTACATTTTTGGCATTTCTTTCAATCCGCCATATTTGCCAATCACTGTTAGACCTTGTATTCTAACTCAGGTTCAGGTTCAGGTTCAGGTTATGAGCTAGGAGTAGACACTGTCTATTTGGTGCTCATATCGTGGAATGCACTAATCAGAGGATGAGCTTTAGTGGTCGACTAGGGTAGCCCAATGTCGGTCAAGCCTCTTCTTGAAGGCACTAGTACTTGGTGCTGACACAACATAGTCTGGCAGCTCATTCCAAGGGGTGACTACTCTGTTAGCAAATGACATGTTTCTGAAGTGGTGCGTTGACCGTCTTTTCTTCAACTTAAATCGATGACCCCTGGTTCTTTCGTTGTCTTGAAATTCAAAGAATCGTCCTGCATCTATATCAACTTTTCCTGTTACAATCTTGTAAGTCTCAATTAAGTCACCACGCTTGAGTCGATCTCGCATGCTCATCAGATCAAGCCTCGTCAGCCGTTCTTCATAGGGATAGGCTCTAATTTCTCGTACAAGCTTGGTAGCTCGTCTCTGAACTTTTTCAAGCTTTTGTATATCTTGAACCATGTGAGGACCAACCGCAGACAGGCAATAATCTAGATGCGGGCGAACATAAGTGGTGTACAAGGACCTGAAGTTGTTGACATCAATATTTCTGAAAGCCATTTTTAAAAGCCTTAGTGCAGTCATTCCTTTCAGTGCCGCAGCTTGGCAGTGGCATGTTGCTTTCAGGTTGTTGGCTACAATCACGCCCAGATCACGTTCGTGAGTTGTAGTGCAGATCGTCCTGGCTTCATCATTACCTTTCATGACATAGTCCTCTGCAGGGTTCATATATCCACAATGCATGATCTTGCACTTTTCAACGTTGAACTTAAGCAGCCACTGATCTGACCATTCAGATAGCCTGTCAAGGTCTGCTTGCAGTGTTGCACAGTCCTGTTGGGTTACTATGTCTTTGAACAGTTTTGTGTCATCTGCGAACAGTTTACAGCCACTCTGCACCAGGGTTGGAAGCTCATTGATGTAGATCAAGAACAAGGTCGGTCCCAATACCGAACCTTGCGGTACTCCACTGGCCACATCTACACACTGTGACTGGCTTCTCCCCACTGTGACCTGCTGTTTTCTGTTCCTGAGGAAGTCGGTTAACCAAGCGAGCAGTTGTCCTCTTATTCCATAAGCACTCAGCTTGTGGATGAGTCTTGCATGCGGAACTCTATCAAAGGCCTTTTGGTAGTCAAGATATGCAATGTCCACAGCTTTGCCTTCATCCATCCACTGAGTCCAGAGTTCAAATGCTTCAAGTAGGTTGGTCTGGCACGATCTACCCTTTACAAATCCATGTTGGTGCTCACTGATCAGCCTGTGCCTGTTAAGGTGGTCTTTGATGTGTCTCAAAATAATTCTTTCCAGAACTTTGCACAGCTGACAAGTAAGACTTATTGGACGGTAGTTTCCAGCAACTTTCTTGCTCCCTTTCTTGAAAATTGGAGTGATGACTGCCATTTTCCACTGGTTCGGCAACTGTCCTTGAGTCAGAGAGCACCTAAACAGTCTTGTTATGGGCTTTACAAGCTGTTCTGCAGTGTTCCTCAAAAGGGTTGCGGGAAATCCGTCGGGGCCCCCCGCTTTACCTTCTTTGAGACAGTTCAGCTCGTTAAGTACTTCTGTTTCGGATATGTCAAATTCATTAAGTGTATCCTCCTCGTCCACAACATTGGGAAAATGGGGCAAACATCCAGTCTCTTCTCGGACAAAAACCGATTTGAAGCAGGCACTCAGTACTTCTGCTGCCTCCTCATTGCTCTTGGTCAGGTCCCCGCTTGCGGCTTCAAGATCTCCTACTGTAGGCTTAACCTTCAGTTGTGATCTTATATATCTGTGTATTTTCTTTGGGTCTTCCTTTCCTTGCAGGATTATGCCATTTTCATACTTTTTCCTTGATGCCCTTATGAGCTGTGTAACCTTGTTTCTTTGCTCAGCGTATGCATTATAACTGTTGGATGTGTTCAGTCTTGTGAATTCTTTCCACCGTTCGTGTTTCAACTTGACTTCTTTTGTCAACCGTTTTGACCACCATGGGACAGTTTTGTGATTTTTTTTCATTGATGAAAGTGGCACATGCTGCTCAATATTCTCTTGGATAACCTCCTTTATCTTGGACCACATACTTTCCACATCCATGTCTTCAAGAATGTCCCAATTCACATCTTGCAGACTCATCCTCATGTCCTGATACCTCCCCTTGCCAAAGTTATATCTGGAAGAGTCTTCTTGTGCCACAGCTTGAGTAGTAAAATCAGGCTGGTACTGATAGTCCCATGTAAGTACAAGATGGTCACTCTTTCCAATGGGGGCACTGGTCTCATTGGACCAGTGCCCCCATTAACTCTGTGATTTAGAGCCTGTGATAATAACTCTGTGATTTAGAGCCGCCGGTGCATCGTTCACCGAGTGAGTGTGGGCCTTCAGTGGCTAAAAATAATTCTTATGCCTTATTTTTTTCATTTGAATGCTAGGATGCATGGAAAAGATGAAGTTTTCCAATTTTATGACCATATATGGTCATCACCCAACACCCTGCCCACTCCAGCCATTCAACCATTGATTCACTGTATATCAAATATAGTAAAAAAAAAATGTAATATTACGTAACCCGCACTAACGTTAGAGTCAGTTGCGGTACCTAATAAAACCAACCTTTTTACAAAAAAAATTGCACGTTGTTTTAAGTTATATGAATTAGTGTTCCTTTGTGTTCTTCCCAGTTAGTGTTTCTTCTAAAAATGTGACATTGCTGATAGATATTGCAATCCCAGGATCCCGACAGGTTTTTAATCCTGATCCCGATTCCGAATTTTGCCAATTCCGGGATCCTGCAGAAATCAGTTTCACCCTAAATGGGAATATAGCCGCTGCATGAGTGACATTTAAACTGTGTATAATACTGCGTGACATTAAGCAGAGTACCTACATATTAAGTTGGCATCCAACCTCAGCCGTCCACAATCGGCCGTGTTGGTAGCCCGGGGATCACCCATAGTGGTTACTGGTTAAGCTGTTTGAATGCGTACGAAAAGGGTTCTCGAACGCCGAACGAATGCGGCATCAGTGCTGCAGCATCTTCATCAGGGCCATCTGCCCCTACCCCGCAGTGTCTGCCCTGACAAGATTTCGTCGACCCCTGCCACGTTTTGCAGACTGGTAACTACTTATGTATGTAAAATGCTCTTTGGCTCCAGAGACTGGAGACACCCCTGTTTTCGGCTCGCTGTTCTGCAGGTGCTAGCCTGCCGGCCGACCAGCCAGCAACCCTGGAAGCGGACGGGCCCGGGCCGGCCCGCGGCTCGGTCGACAGCCCGCGCCCGGACGCTGCCCCAGGCAGCAAGCGACGCTCGCGGCCCGGCTCTCTGACCGGCGACCAGAAGCGCTGCAAACTCTCCACCAGCCGGCGACGGCATGCAACCAGTCCGGAGATGAACTCAACGTCGAAGAAGAGAAAGAAGAGGAGTTATAGACATAGAAGATACTTGGAGGTCCCTCGGTCCCCGGCACCGGGCCATGCTCAGTCGCATGCAGCTCATGTCCAGTCACCTTCACAGCCGTTGCCTGAGTCAGAGAAAGACTCCCGGCCGCGCCCGTTCACGTCCGAACCATGGACAGCGTTCCCGCAGGATAAGCACCGCTCGGAGGCTGGGCCGAGACCAGCACCTCACCACCGGGGATCGGCAGCCGCGGGCGGCAGTCGGTGCGGCCGCGGCCCGCTCCCTCCCTCCGCGTCCGCCAGTCGTCCGGCGACCGCAGTCGGTGGGCGACCTGTCGGCGCCCTCACCGGAGGGAACTGTCAGCCTGCCTCGGGCCCAGCGGCCGTCGGCGCCGGTACCTGTCAGAAGAACACTCAGCCGGCCCGGGCCCCAGCGGCCGCCAGCGCTGGCACTGCGAGGAACTCCTTTCAGAGAAACTCTCAGCCTGCCCCAGCCTCTGCTGAAGGAAGGAACTCGTTTCAGAGAAATTCTCAGCCTGCCCCGGCCTCCGCTGTAGCAAGGAACTCGTTTCAGAGAAACTCTCAGCCTGTCCCGGCCCGACCGGCGGCCAGCACCGGAGGAAACTCCTGTCAGAGGAGCACTAAGCCTGTCGCGGCCCGAGCGGCCGCCGGCGCCGGCTCCACGGCCGTCCGACGGGACAGTTCGGGGTCTGACGAGTTCACCTGGGAGGACGAGCCGCTGCCGCCTGTGGAGCGGCCCGAGCCGCGGCGGGGCAGGCAGTCGCCGCCGGCGGCAGGAGGTGGCTTCGTCGCCGCCACTCCGCCGGCGGACGGAACAGAGACGGCGGCGAGCGGCGACCGGCGCCTGCCTGAGGACGACGACCGGTCCGCGGCCGATGGGACGCCAGAGGAGGAGATGGAGGGGGAAGAGGGCGTGGTCAGTGCCGGCCAGGACCGCGCCGAGCCTGTGAGCAACAACCAGGACCGTGGCGAGTCGGCCAGCTCGGTGGAGACCATCACTGTGACGGTACAGGTGAGTTAGCACCAGTCGACTTACGACTGAGCCAAGTTGGTATGGTATCGGTCACATCCTACTGTCAGCTCAGTATGGTATAATTTTAGAACAGGTGGTCCTGACGGGGATGGTTGACTGTCAGAGGCAGTGGTGACGTAAGACGTTATAGGCCCGAGGAGAGCGGTGAAAGTACGGGCTTTGCCCTACTTTATGGACGCGTAAAACGCCCGAGCTCGAACCATGAATTATACGTTGTGCTCACCATTTCCTGGTCGGTCAGTAGAGCTTAGGACCAGTGGTACCTAAAGGGTAAGACCACAATGACCTCTGCACTATTCTCCGCTCATTTTGAGTGGCGGTCTTAGGCTACCCGCTCATACAACTAAACTTAAAAATAGCAGCTGCAATGATACAATTATTCTCTTGGTTCTAGTCTACGTTCAAATCTAATTATGGCCCCGTTGTCGAAAACAGTCGACCTCTGGACACAGACCCATTAGTGAACAGTGAACACGTTACAATGTTCGTCACTTGCTCGTTGATCAGTGATCACTGACCGCGTCCCGCTCCCCCAGTATCCGCAGCACTCGCCGGCGGCGGAGGCGGAGGCCGTTTCGGCCCCTGCGCCCGAGTCTGTGGACGAAAACGACAACTGGCTACCGGCGGCGGACGGCGGCCCGACGGTGGCCACAGACGGCGAGACCTGGTTCCGGCAGGTGGTGTCTGACACACTGCGAGAGCGGCTGGACCGCGACAGTGCCCACACGCCGCACAGGCCTGACCAGGTGAGAGGGATAGGGGGAGGGGGCGGTCAGACGGGCAGGGACCGTCGGGCGTCGGGGGCTGTCCGGTGGAGCTGCAGCCCGGGGGGGAGGGAGGGCACGGGCCGATCGGGTTGGGTGGGTCTAGTCCAGCGCAATGGCGCTACCTGTGAGACCATGTATTGGTGCCTGGCAGCTGTGGCCTTTGTGACATTCCTAACTCATGTTTATGTTCTTTTCAGGATTACTCGCAGTCGTCGGCCCTGCCCGACCCCCGTATCCTCTTTCCTCCGTCCGGTGACGACGTGGAGAGCGTCCAGTCCGACCCCGGCCACTGGAGCCGCCCCGCCGCCAATCCTCGGACCGCCTTCCAGCCGCACCCCGGCGACCCTGAGGTGACTGGGGTGTTTTACCAGAGCCAGGAGGATTTAGTCATGAAGGTGAGGGAAGGGAGTACGGGCGGATCCGGGGGGGGGGGGGCTGGGCCTTAGGGTATTTGCCACTTAAGCAGCGCACGAAATTGACGGCTTTTTTAAAGCCATCCATCCATAAAGCCATCCAAAGCCATAAAACATTCCATCGACTCCGCGGCAGTCTTGCAGTGACTTTCATACTCAGTCTGCTCGCAAGGGGTATTTTACCGCTGAAAAGAGCACTAGATCTCTAACAATTTGTGTCATTCAGAGCCGTTGCATTATGTCCCCTGCATCTGGTTGCGTTTGACCCTGTTCCTCGGTGCCCCGGCGTTGACCCGGCCCCGTATGCCGTCAGGTGGCGGTCAGCGGCTCGGAGCCGGCGGTCAGCGGCTCGGAGCCGGCGGTCAGCGGCTCGGAGCCGGCGGCGCCGCCTCCGGTGTGTGTCGGCGCCATCCCGCTGCCGCCCGGCTCGCCGCTGACCGGCGTGCCGGGCCGGCCGGTGGCCGTGCTCGGCGGCTCCGCGCGGCTGCCGGGCGGCGCGCCCGCGCGCACCTACCAGCCGGACGGGTTCGCGGTGCGCCAGTGGCGGCCCGAGGCGCCCCCCGCGAGCGGCGCCGGCGACTGGCCGAGTCTGCAGGAGGTGGCCGGCCGCAGCCGGGCGGCGACGGCCGCGCCCGCGCCCGGCTCCGCCGCCGAGCTCACCATCCGAGAGGCGGTCCGCTTCAGCAACGACGGCGACTGGTGGACGGCCCCGCCCCCGCCGCCGCCGCCGCCGCCGCCGGGCGGGCCGGCGCCCAGTGTGCCCGGCTGGCCCGCTCCGCCCCGGGAGACCACCCTGGAGGAGCTGGTGCGCCCCCGGCCGGCGCCCAACGACTGGTGGGAACCGGACGGTGGAGCAGCTGCCGAACTGTCACTGAGGGACCTGGAGCGAGACAAGACATCCACGGCGCCGGTAAGTGTTGGGGTATTTGGGCGGCCGGAGGGTACCTGGGCTTCAGGAGCCACTCAGTCGAGCTAGTGTAGCTGAATTGGTGCCGTTTGAACTCGTAGATGGTACACAGTGCACATTTGGACATGGTGCCGCCAATCCAAGTGGAAAATATTGTGACTCTATCTGTGAAACGGTTCTTTCACGATGTCACTTTTCACGATTTCACGAACGTAAGTGTTGGGGTATTTGGGCGGCCGGAGGGTACCTGGGCTATGCCCGACATTCCGCTGGCTTAGAAGTTTTCCCATATATTCTTGTTACCGCTGCGATTTATCCCGAACCTCAGGTGCTGCCCTCTTATCACGTGACCTCCGTCGCGCTGGTGACTACGTGTATTGTATTGTATTGTATTGACAAAGGCAGACAACTCCACATGGGCGTGGCTATTCTGTGTCTCTAGTCACAGAGAGTTAAAAAGAAAACATACATCAGGGTAAAATGGGAATAAAATTTACCGTCAGAAATCACACACCCACGCACACACCAGGCACTCAATGCACACGTCATACGCAATCAGATCACCGACAATAACAGTCTCTCGGAACCCCATCAGAAGTGCGCCTTTACTGCTTTCTTAAAACTGTCCGGGTCGAGATCTAAAAGGGCAGCGGGCAGCTGGTTTAAAAGCGCGGTCGCTTGGTGTGAAAAGGCCCGCTGCCCAGCCGCAGTGCGCGAAACCGGTGGCCGTAGGCGACGGTCATTCCGGGTGGAGCGGTCACCACTGGCCCGCGACCCCGCGTTCGTGGCGAACAGTGAGGCGAGGACGGTCGGTTCACCGCGCACAATCACACCGCGCGCGACAGTCACCGCTGCGACCCGGTACATGTCACTGGCCGATTTGAGGCGCAGGTCATCCCGCGCGCGAGATACGTGGTCGTACTTTTTGAGGCCGGTAATAACTCTTGTAGCGAAGTTAATAATTTTGAGAAGTCTGGCACAGTTATCGGCAGAACAGTTTCCGTAAACAGATATGCAGTATCTCACGCGCGAGATGACCAACCCCTCAACAATAGTTTTCAGTACGTGCTGCGGGAGGAAATGCCTCAGGTGGCGGAGACCGATCAGGAGGCCGGTACAGTGGCGAACCACGTCACTGACGTGTGCGTCCCAACTCAAATGACGGTCAAACAGCACGCCAAGGTTTTTGACTGTCCGGCTCTCCCGAACAGTCCCACCACCGACCCGTACGCTGACAGGGGGGAGGTTACGGGTGTTCTGACGGGTGCCGAGGAGAAGGATTTCAGTTTTGGACGCGTTGAGTTTTAAGCCATGGGCATGGAACCAAGCAGACAAGGTGGAAAGGGTAGATTCCATGCGTTGGATGAGGTCAGGAAGATTGGCTTTGACATCGGACAACAGGATTTGGGTGTCGTCAGCGTACTGAGTCACATGGGCGTCCGGTGCGTGCAGGCTGAGGTCGTTGGAGAAGATGGTGAATAGGAGAGGACCAAGGACGGATCCCTGGAACACTCCCGTGGTGATAGGAAGGGGATTTGAGACCACTCTGGCGCCGGAAGGAGAGCAGATGGAGACTGACTGGGAATGACCATGGAGATACGAAGAAAACCAGGATGTGTCAATGTTATATTGCTGAAGTTTGCTAAGGAGCAGAGAGTGTGGAATAGAGTCAAAACATTTGCTCAGATCCAAGAGGCATAGGAGGGAAAGGTGGCTACGGTCCATGTTGGAGAAAATACTGTTAGTAACAGAGAGCAGAGCGGTCTCGGTTGAATGGTGGGGACGGAAACCGTGTTGGGATGAGGATAGGAGATGATTGTCGGACATATAGGCATACAGCTGTCGCTGCACCACACGTTCGACAATCTTGGCTATGACGGGAACTATGGATATAGGACGGTAATTGGAGGGCAAGGAAGGGTCGCCGGACTTGAAAATAGGATGCACCAGGGAGTGTTTCCATGAATCAGGGATTTCACATCTGGTAAGGCACGAGTTAATGATGTGGAGAAGGACAGGGCCGATGGCGTCAAAACATAGGATTAGGATACGGATACAAATTCCGTCAGGCCCACAAACACCGGAACGCTTCATGGAGAACATTACCTCCCGCAGGCCGGCCAGCGTGGTGCCGCGCACGCGGAAGCCGCAGGCGCCCACACGCGGCAGGCGACACGGGACAGCGGGCGGGGGCCCCAGGCTGGCCAGCTCATCAGCAATCCGAGCACCGACACCAACAAAGTACGCATTAACCTCGTCGGGAGTAGCGGCAGGAAGACTAGGGGCACTGCTACGCTTTCCGGCGATTATAGGGCGGATGACACGGTACAGTGAGCTGCTGCCATGCTCACGGAGCCTAGCTTCAATGTCCGCTCTACAATCTTGCCGGATCGCCGACCTGACCCTCCTATCAAGTTCGCGAAAGGTCGGCGATCTCCCCTCGCGGCGCAGTACACCCCTCCGCTGGGACATAAGATCGAGAGTCGCCGCGGTGACAGCCGGCGCTTCGGGGTTCCGGATGGTAGCGATTTTAGTCGGGGCATGTCTATCTAAAACGGATAGCAAACGATCAGTAAAGAAGGACCACATAAAAGAAACCGGATAGCTGCTAAAAACGCACGACCAGTCCACACTGTACAAATCGCTAAGCAATGCATCTCGCTGGATACGTTTGAGCGGCCTAAAACGCAGACGGGATGGTTTTTTAACACGTTTCGGTAAAGATAAAAGCAAGCGAATGACATAATGAGGGCTAAAAGAGCATTTTGACACGGCTAGACGACGGATGATGTGTTCAGAGTTGCAAATAACTACATCTAAAAGTGAACCGGTGTAAAAGGTGGGCTGCATCACATGTTGATATAAATCAAAAGACTGTAACATTTCACGGAGTCGGTCCCGGCCAGGGTTTGTACCTGTGTCTAACAGGTTGCAGTTTAGGTCACCCATGATAAGAATCGGCCCGGAGTGTTGGAGCACTACACGCTGGTACTGCAGCTCCAGCTCGCCGATGTCCGCCTGGAGTGCCGCGGCCGTTCTCCGCGGCGGCCGGTAGACGGCGGCGAGCGTGAAGGGCGGGCCGGCCGACGTGCGACGGCACCCTGTGACTGTGTGCGACCGTGTGACCTGTGCATGTGATCCTGTGACCTGACTGTGACCGCTGTTGACCTGTGACCTTTGAGTGCGAGCACTGTACCCTGACTGTGGCTGCTTTGACTGACTTCCCGTGTGCGGTCGCTGCAGACCGGTGTGCCGGGCACCAGTGGCGGTCCCATCTCGCCAAGCTGTGCGCCGCACCACGGCCACTGGTCGCTGGCCGAGGGCCGCGGCGGAACCGTCACCCCGCCGGCGCCGGCCGGCCGCGGCGCGTGGCGCCCGCTCTCCCCCACTTCGCCGCCCGCGCCGGGCAGTGTGTGGCGCCCGCTGTCCCCCACGCTGCCTCCCGTGCCGGGCGCGCCGGACGGCACCTTCACGCCGCGGGTGCTGTCGTGCCGCGAGCCTCTGCGGCCCGGCGGCGGCCTGTGGCGCTCCGAGCCGCGGCCGGGCGGCGGCTTCCGGCCGCGCTACGTACCGCCCGAGGAGCGGCTGACGGCCGGCGGCGCCCGGCGCTCACTGGGCGTGCCGCCCACCACCGCAGCCGTGGACAAGTGCGGTCCGGAGGCCATAGCGGTGAGGAACCAACGGAGATGCGTTGTGTTTTACATTTTGAGACACGTTAATTTTTTAGGCTTTGCCTTTCCTTTAAAAATTCTTGCTTGAGCAGATGTCTTTATCATCTAGTCTGAGTATGATGTCGAGACCAAACGCGACAGTGCAGCTGTGTTGTCACCTGAACTACACATGCCTCTAACGTCACTGTCGGTGACCGGCGCTGTGACCCTCCGTCTCCCCCCAGGCGTTCCGGCGCAGGATGGGCTGCCGGGCCGGCATCACCACCGCCTACGATCCGGAAGCGCTAGTCGGCCTGCGGCTGCCAGTCGGCTTCATCGACTCGCACTGCCACCTGGACTTTCTGTTCCGTCGCGACCAGGCGTTCGGCTCGGGCCTGCGCTCCAACACACTGACCGAGTTCCGGCGCCGTGTAGCGTCCGCCACCTTCCCGGCCAGCTTCGCCGGCTGCGTGGCTGTCTTCTGCGACCCCAACTACTGGCACCGGGTGAGAGCGGGTGGGGCGGGGCGGCGGCAGGTCCAGGGTGGAGCACGGTGACCAGGGCGGGACGTGGTACTTCTCGTAGTTGCCGACAGCGGGAAAGATCATGGTTTGGTCGGGGGTTCTTTTATATGAGTAAGTCATGTTTACTTGGATGGAACATTGTTCTGTAATAAGTCCGTAACCGCTCTGCTGGATGTCCCTGTTCCCGCATCCTGCCGACCCCTCTTCCCCCTGTGACCTCTCCCAATATACTGTAACCTCGCTGTGACCTCCCCCTGTGATCTCCCGCTGTCTGTCCCCCCACTGCCAGCGCGCCGAGTGGAGCCGCATGCTGGAGGAGCCGGGGGTGTGGGCCGCGTTCGGCTGCCACCCGCACAGCGTCCGAGACTTCACCATGGTCTCCGAACAGATGCTCGAGCACATACTGCGCTCAAACAAGAACGTGGTGGCGCTGGGCGAGATCGGACTCGACTACTCCACAAAGTGAGTCGGGTTTGTGGAGGGACTTGGACTAACGTCTCTACAAGGTGAGTGGGGTGTTATGGAGGGACTGGACTCCGACTAACTGCTCCACGAAGTGAGTGGGTTTTGTGGCGGGACTGGAGTGGTGAGTTTCCGCTGCGTGGAAGCTGTTTGAGGTGGTGAGGGTATGATGTGGTGATTGGTGAATGTGATACTGCTTCGCATGTCCCGGTGCTGCTGGTCTTCCGCGCTGAGTGGCTTAGGTTCCCTGTTTGTCGCGTTTCGCTCAGCTCAACAGTGCTAACCGGAACATCATTTGGGACAGCCATTTCCGTCCCTACGTTGCATGTTTTGTGCTGCTTCGCCTTCTCGCTCAATATCAGCTCCCCTTGGCGCCGAATCCGCCCTGTGACCCAGCACCTGTCCTGACCCCGTGACCTTCCCTGTGACCCGGCATCTGCCCTGATTCAGCACCTGTCCTGACCCCGTGACCTTCCCTGTGACCCGGCACCTGCCCTGTCACCCGGCACCCCGTCCCGGTGACCCGGCACCTGCCCTGATCCGTCACCCCGTCCCGGTGACCCGGCACCCCGTCCCGGTGACCCGGCTTCCCCCCGTGTCGCCGCCTGCCGTCCCGCTGCCGTCCCGGTGACCCCGCGCCCCGCCTGGTGACGCTGCCCGCTGTGCCGCCGCGCCCCGCAGTAACAGCACCAGCCACGACATGCAGAAGACGGTGTTCCGGCGCCAGCTGGCGATCGGCGTGGCGCTGGGCCTGCCGCTGGTGCTGCACGTCAGGGACGCCGAACAGGACGCGCTAGACATTGCGCTCGAGGTCGGTGACCGGGGCCGGCAGTGTCGCGGCCGGGGTGGTGATGGTGGTGTTGTCCGGGCAGTGGTGCTGGTGTTGGGGTCGGGGGCGGTGTCTGTTGGGTTTGTGTGTGCTGGATGGGGCTGGTGTTGACGTTGGTGTTGGTCTTTAAGATCGGTGTTCCGGACTGGTAGGTCGGTTTAAGGCGGGACAAAAAAGTTCAGGGCGGGAGACAGAATATTATGTGTTGCATAACTAAAGGAAACTTTTCGATACTTAACAGTTGTTGCGGAAATTGCTGATGAGTGATGTCATCATATTGTTGATTCCCCAGATGGTGCCCCGTGACCACCTGATCCACCGGCACTGTATCACCGGCAACTGGGTGATGGTGCGCCGCTGGATGGACGCCTTTCCCAACTGCTACGTGGGCCTGACGCCGCTCATCACCAACCCGCACGCGCAACAAGCCCGCTTCCTGGTGGGCGAGGTGCCGCTCAACCGGCTGCTCCTCGAGACAGACGCGCCCTACTTCGTGCCCAGCTGCTACCGGCGCGACGCATCGGTGAGCCTCGGCGGCGGTCGGGAAGGGGGTGAGGACGGTATGATGGTCTTTGTACTGTATGTGTGAGGCTGGAAACATATGTGACGTGACGTTCGGTTAGTAAGCATTCAGTGCTTCTAATCACAATGCTATTCAAATAGTCGATAATTTTGATTAAATGTAGAGTTTATACAGCTGGTGTCTGGGTATACGATTGTTCAGCATTTTACCTTAAAATTTTATGAAAGATAGTTTTGGGCTGATCAGACAATACATCATGGTTTGCACACCGATTATCCTATCCTTGAATCCGATATCGTATCCAATATTGTTGTATACCATATTAATGTCCGTCATTAATACCTCCCCGATGTCTCGCAGGTCCCCAGTGACCGGCCTCTGTCCGTCCGTTCCCTGTCGGTGCCCGCTGAGTACACCAGCTCTGTCCGTCCGTTCCCTGTCGGTGCCCGCTGAGTACACCAGCTCTGTCCGTCCGTTCCCTGTCGGTGCCCGCTGAGTACACCAGCTCTGTCCGTCCGTTCCCTGTCGGTGCCCGCTGAGTACACCAGCTCTGTCCGTCCGTTCCCTGTCGGTGCCCGCTGAGTACACCAGCTCTACCCGTCCGTTCCCTGTCGGTGCCCGCTGAGTACACCAGCTCTGTCCGTCCGTTCCCTGTCGGTGCCCGCTGAGTACACCAGCTCTGTCCGCCCGTTCCCTGTCGGTGCCCGCTGAGTACACCAGCTCTGTCCGTCTGTTTCCCTGTCTGTCGGTCCCCAGTGACGCCTCCACCCCCTCCCGGCAGGAGATGCGGTTCTCTCACCCGGGTCTCGCGCTGCACGTGGCCGCTCAGGTGTCCCAGATGCGGCGCATCCCGCTGGAGGAGGTGGTGCGGGTGACGGCCGCCAACACACGCGCCATGTACCGGCTGCCGCCACAGGAGCGGGAGGCGTTCACCGGCTTCAGCGCCCAGTGAGCCACCCTAACGGCACTCATCGGCACTGACGGCACTCCCGGACACTCACTAACTCACGGTACACCAGGGCACTGGCGGTACTCCCGGGTACTCCTGGCTTCTCTCTGAGAGCTCGATACTCCGTGCAGCGTAAATGCTGAGGCCGTCGCTGTCCCGCCGAGGCCCGACTACAGGTCTCGCTGAGGAACCCTGCTCGGCTTGGGGCTGGGAGAGTCTGCCCGCGGTCCGACCAGCGTCGAGCGGGGGTATTATGCGGGCCAACCGGACTGAAGCTAGTCCATAACAAGTGCCAATTGGATGTAAAACTCTGCCGGTTGTTTGTTAGATGGGAGTATTTTGCTAATATGGGAAACCCAGGCGCACGTCATTGTAGGCTATTAGATAGTGATATTAGGACCCTGGGTCAAATATGGCCATTGTACGCCATTAGCGGGTAATAGAATCTAGCAATTCAACAGCCATGGACTACCTTTGTCGATTAATGAGAGAGCTGCTAGGCCGGTGGTTATCTCTGGTATGACTGAAATGAATTCCCTGGTTCGCTGGAGCCGGTGGTGGGAGCGGCGGTGTCCCACCCCGCCCGGTTGGCGGACCGGCCTCACTGAGACGTTCCGTGGCTGTGCCCAGACCTGTGAATTCCTGCGCTGGCTGTGAGCCGTGCCCGAGCTTCCTGAGCTCACCTGTTCAATGACGAGCTTACGGCGAGCTTTCAGCAGTGACTGCGGTGTGGCTGTTTGAAGAAGTACAAGAGCCGGGCGTTCGGTCGGCGGTGGACACCGGAATCCGGCGATAGCTGCCGTTCTCGGGTACAATGTCGAATCTCGCTAGATCTCTCTGCTAGGCAGTCGTCGATCCTAAACTCAAACAATGTTTTCTGATGTGTTGTCTTTCGTAAAACGTCACTTTTCCACTTGTTCTAATCCTCGACTGAAAGGCGCGCTCATAGAAACCAGTTGTGACTGTTGATGCTCTCTAAAAAGCTCACAGGTCGCTCGTCTTAACATGTTCTAAATGTGTGTGTCCGCGGGTGCGGCGACTGCGGTGTTGTGCTGTATCTCCCGTGTGTCCGGTACGGCAGCCGCCGACTGGTGGGTGTGTCGCTCGGCCAGGGGTGGGCGTAGGAGCGGCGCCCGCTCCCGGCCAGCCGGCCCCTCCCTATCGATTCGGCCCCCGCACGCGTGTGTTTGCGGGTGCGTGTCGCCGGGTGATGGGTGTGGGGTGCGGGTGAAACGCTGGCGTGGCGGTGCCGCAATTCATCCACGTGTCTTACCGCGACTGTGCCTTGTGGTCGTGTCATCCCCCCTCCCCGCCCCGCCAGACGCACCTGTCGCCGGAGTCGCTATGTTCCGCTGTGGTGTACCGGTCCCCTCCCCTCTGCCTCCGGGCGCGCCGGCCACCGACCATGCCCCCGGGGTTCCGAAGCCCGGACCATCCAACTGCAAGTGAATCTCTCTCAGGGATGCATGTACAGTATTACAAAGCCCAGAGGTGTTTCAGATGCTGCGTTTGAATACATTCGTTCGTTAATAAGTGGCGTTTGTGAGTCTAAATCCTGGGTCTTCCCTGGCGGCTGGCGGGAGACAAGACCTCTGTTGGGGCAATTTGGGACGGATCCCAGCGACCGTTACCAGCACGGGTCCTCCGTAACCTGCGGTTCACTACAGTTGCAATGCCTAATGCCTGGTGACCGCCCAGCTCAAAAAGCGATGCACGGGGACGATAGAAGACATTCACTGACTCAGCAGCGGGGGCCCTTCCGTTCGTTTGGGAGGGGGGGGGGGCTCGTGTCGGATGGGGAAGTGGATGCATCATGCGAGAGAGGCATGACCGGATAGTTTGCCGATGGTTGCGAATGTTTGATGTGCATTTTGGGCACTGTCAGTCGGCAAATGTTGGGCTCGGGTCCAGTTGGGTGGATTGGGGCATCAGCTTTCTGAGGAAGTCACTATCTATCCACTAGGCATTTGAATGCCCTCGATGTGAAGGATGAAAGGGGTGACAAGCTCTGAAGCACCTTTATGGACGCCCCCTGACCTATAGCCAATTTGACCTCCCGGACACATCACCGCTCCTTACCGGAGAATATCCAAAACCTTCTGGTACACGGCCGTGATTGTGATTGGCTAGTGTACTTCTCGTGGTTCATTGCTATTGGTTCACCTTTGTGCCGTCAACCAATCAGAAGCTTCCAACTCCCCCAGCTGAGCCCTAGCGACGCTTTTGTCCTCGTCGTTTGTGACGCTCGCGCTGGAGCCGGTCCCTCAATTTCCTGTCGCCGGTGGTGGAAGTTCTACGCTAGTCCTAGGTTTTTCAGATTTACGGTCTGAAATAAACCGAAGACAAGATGCATAAACTAACGGTTATGATTTTTGCTCTTTGCATCGTATCATGTAAGTATCAGGTATCTGCCTATCGGGGTTTCAGTTTGCTTGAAACGCTTGAAATGGTCATTTTTTGATCAATTTTCATTTTTGCTGGTTTTTAAGACAGTTATTGCATGTATCATGCAGGCATTTTGTATTATATTTTGTTAATTGTCTGCATTTACTTAATGTTGTATGGCGTAATGCTTGTTTTTAAATGTGAAGTTGAAGTTGACTAGATTTCTGCCACCTGTGGTGGATCAAAGACATGCGATGTCATTGATGCATGTGACGTTTTTAATAAGAGTATAAATGGGAACAATCAGATTATTATTCTTTCAACTTCAATTGACTCTTACTTGGTAGGCAGTGTCTAATTTGCGGGCGAATCTAGAGAAGTGGTTGAGGCTGCAGGGACATGTCGATATTCATATAGCGGGTGTCTCCAAGGTGATTGATACCAAGTGGCGTCTTGAGAGAATGCTGACATCATAGTGTGGACTTATAAAATATCCCAAAACAATTAAGTTACTAAAGAGATCTCAGAAATATGACATAATTCATGCTCATGTTGACATGTTAATTGGCTGTTTTTGACTGTTTCTGTTTGGAATAGTGGATGCTAGGTAAAATTCAAAATCTATGGCCTATGCCAACTAGTTATCCCTTCAATCTAACTGGGGCAATCATTTGATTCTTAGGCAAATCAAAGTGCTTTGGCTAATGCATATTGCATAAGTACCATACTTATCAGGGAGAAACATTTTCTTAGTTTACTCTATTGCACATGAAAATTCTTCAACTGGAGTCATTGTGTAGAACCATCAATTGGTGCACAGTTTATTTCAAGAGATAAAGTGAATTTTTCAGCATCTGTTGTCAGTTGTCACATCATTTTATCTGTACCTAGCTCATGCAGAAAGTAGATAAGCTATTTGAGTGAGGGAAGTGGTTGTTGTGTGAGTATCTTTGCTGACTGTTTTGTCCTTTACAGATATTTCTGTACCTAAAGTCAGTGCAGAAGATGACATTGAGCCCAATCCCAAAGTTGATGAAGACCTTGGAGCCAGCAGGGAAGGCTCACGGACAGGTGAGCCATCCAGACATTGAATCGTTTTAGAGTCTTTTGCATTTCTTAGTAAAATATTTGTTAATTGATGTGTAGAGGACATTACATTGATAATGTGGTAATCTATAATGTGACAATATAAAGGGTGAGGGATAAATGTTTCTTAGCTAGATTTAAGCTGCCTGTTACCTTCTGTTCAAGTTTATCTGTTCTTCAAGTTGCAGGGACCGCGGATTCCGGGGGGCAGGGTGTGCAATTGCACACCCTGAAAATCCTGAGGGTGTGCAAACACCTATTTTTGCACACCCACAGTTCGTTGTGGGGGCCCATGCGGCCCTGGCGCTTGAGTGTCCCAAGCCGATTCTCGAGGGCCCCAGCGCGAGCCTGATGGTCCCGCACCGGTGCCTGAAGGCGTGAACAGGCTCTAGTGTTATCTCAGGGGTTATCTCAGAACCCCACCCACGCCATTTTTAGTGCTCTTGAGGGGCCCTAGACCGATATCCAAGGACCTCTGGCCAATGCCCGGGGCGCAGGCCGATGCCCGAGGGCTCCAAGCCGTTACCCGAGGGCCTTACACAGCTATCTCAGGGTATAATGCCACTTTCCGAGGGCCCTAACTGGCTCTTGAAGGCCCCAGGCCGATTCCTGAGATACCTGAGAACCTGAACCTGTTTGTCAGTGAGTGAGTATGTGAGTTTGTCCAAGCTTTTTTGGACCTGGAGTCAAAATGGGTGGACCGATCGGGACGAAAGTGGGACCGTTTGATTCGTCTCCGGCGAGGTAAACTTTTGGTGCTGGCCTCGGTTCGCTCGGTGCTTCGTGGCACATGCTATTCCGCTTCAAAGTTTCGGTGACACGAAATTTTTTGTCAAGGCTACAGGTCAACCAGAGGTCACGGGCAAAGCCATACTGGCGGGACACATCGTTAACACCTTGAACCAGTTTCCAGTGGGGTCACCGTCTGCTAGGGGTACAGGCTGCACGTGCTGGGGGCGGAAAACCGTTTTGACGTGAGGTCCTCTGGCTCAAAGAAATTTTAAGCTATCAACCTCAAAATCGGTTCAATGGTAGTCCCAGGCAAGGCCTCCAAAATAATGCACATTTGGTTGAGCTAAACTCTGTGGTGCATGAGCTATGCACGTGCAAGCCGATTGCACCCCTTCGTACGTTGCCACGCCTGCAGGGTAAACGGCAGCTCTAACTGGTTCAAAACTTGCAGGTCATAAGAAGAATACATTTGATCACGACATTCCGGCGAGATAATATCCGAGGGGTGCAAGCTGCGCGTGCGGGGGGCGGATAACGGTTTTGACGAGGGATCCTCTGATCCCGGGAAACGTCGATCTAGCGACACAAAAGTCGGTACACTGATAGAACTAGACACACGCTACATGATGTCATGAAAATGACTGCACTGGGGTGCCTGGGGCATGAACTATGCACGTGCAGTTAATTCATATCTTACTGTAGGTAGATATCCACACCAATCTCGCGTGCTTTCAAGCATTTTTGGGATGTTTCGGTTGGTTTCAGGTTCCTGGTTCAGTCCAAGCTCAGTCTGGGTTTCGGTGGTTTTGCCCGGTGTGTGCCCTCAGCACCGTTCCTCCAATTCTGGCCCAAGGCAACGCAAGAGCGCTGCCGGCATCTAGTTCTATGTACATGAGGTATTCCAGAGGCCGTTATGGGACCTTCAAAGACCGTGTGCGGTGCGCCGGTGACCCTTAGAATTGCCGGCGTTGGGTCTCAGGAGCTGGCGTGCGGCCTTTATGGGGCCCCAAAGCCAGCGTGTGGACCGTAGAGCAATGGGGAAGCTAAGGGGGGCCGGAGGCCAGACCCCCATAGGTCATAGGGGCCAAATCGATGGGCCCAAACATCCCGCCGGCCGTGTTTTATTTTTAAACTAATTCATGTAATCCATGATAAAAAGAAGTGTGCCAACATCAACTGTGCAAAAGGTCTCTCTGAGGCCCGTAGGGGCCCTTGAAGGTCACTGTAAGCCTTTAGGGGCCTGCTTGGTAAAATCGGAGATCGATTTGGATCACGTTGCATGCATGCATGTGCATTTACTCTGCTCATGCATCTCCTGACCGTAAGATGCTCGCTCAGTCATCTTACGACCGTCAATTTTGAAGGTTTTCCCGCCCCGCTTCCTTAGAACCGGCTTATTCCGGAGCAGTGGCGGCGCTGACTTTTTGGAAGGGGCCCGGCGTGAGGTGGGGGGCCCAGTCACCACATCTTGCACACCCTACGAGAATTTGAATCCGCGGTCCCTGTCAAGTTGAAACCATTGGCATACCTCTTTAATATTAGAAACTTGTACTTGTTCAACAGATCAAACATTTTTATTGTCTTTATTATTTATAGGTATTTGTATTCCAATTGATGGTCTCGTTTGCTGACTTGTGTTTTCCCACAGATTCAGAGACTGTGGCCCGGGAGGAAGAGGCAATTAAATTAGATGGGTTGAGTGTTGCCCAGATGAAAGAACTGAAGGAGAAATCTGAGAAGCATGTGTTTCAAGCTGAGGTCAACAGAATGATGAAACTCATCATTAACTCTCTCTATAAGAATAAAGAGGTACGTGAACTGAACATCCAAGGCAATGCTACAGTTATTCTGCTTTTAAGGCAACACTGAAAGGTATACTTTTGAATATGTATCTGGTATGGTAAAATTGTATTTTACTGTTGAATTTCAGTAGCAGTTCAGAACATTTGAGGTTTAGCTGGTTGTGTTCGGAGCCCCCCGTGAACCTGGCTGATCCCGCCGGCAGATTTTCCTGCGCGAGCTGATCTCGAACGCGTCAGACGCGCTGGACAAGATCCGCCTGCTGTCGCTGACCGACCGCAGCGCGCTGGACTCGACCCCCGAGATGACCATCAGGATCAAGGTGAGGGGCCGACGGGCGGGGTCCGGCGGCCCGGGTCCGGCCAGTCCGGACTCCGGCGGGCGGGTGGCGACGGTCAGGGCCCGATTCGAGATGGCGCACTAGGAAGCTAGTAAGACTAGGCGGCCAAGTGACACTTGAATGTAGTGACACTAAGCGGTATTTTACACCAATCGGCTAGTGGCTCAGCGCGAACCGAAATCGCATAGTG